TTGTAATATTGAACCATCCTTACATACCTGGTATGAGTTTCACTTATCATAATGTTATTTTTTTGAGATGGATTCCACTGGCTAGGATTTTATTTAGAATTTTGGCATCTGTGTTCACGAGGGATGTTAGTCTATAATTTTCTTTTATAGTGATATCTTTGCCTGGTCTTGGTATCAGGGCTATATTTGCTTCATAAAATGAATTCAGGAACAGTAGAAATAACCAGTAAAGCCATCTGGGCCTGGACTTTTTTTGTTGTTTTTTAATGACTTGGTCAGTTTCTTCTGTTCAAATTTTCTATTTCAGTCTGTATTAATTTAAGTAGGTCATATGTTTCTGGAAATTTGTCCATTCTAGATTTTCAAATAACATATCTTCCTAATAACATATCTAAAATATGAGAGGTGAAGTCTCACCATCCTGGCTTCTAAGGAAAATTCTGGCTGTACTTCTTCCAACACAGATTTGTTTGTTCTTCTGACAGTCCATGCTACTTTTAGTATTCTTTCTCCTCCAGCACCATAACTCAAATTCATCACTTCTTATATAATCTTCCTTATTCATTGTCCAATTTTTACATGTATACATCTCATACTTTGGACATGTTGTCAGTAGGGAACAGTCGCTGGAGAAGGATGTCATGCTGGGTAAGATGGAGGGTCAGAGAAAAAGAGGAAGACCCCCAACAAAATGAGTCAGCCAGGTGGCATCATTGATGGCATCAAGTGTGGCAGCGGTAGTGAGGTTGGCCCAGGATCCAATGTGGTAGCATTGCTGACATCACAGCAACACACAAGTCACAATACTACAACAAACTGACAGACAAGTGGTGGTGTCTTTAACCTATGTCTGTGAGGCCTGGTTACTTAGTTAATAGCGTTATTCAGATCTTCTGTATCTTTATTGGTTTATTTTTCTTTTTTCTTTATAGTTCTGTCCATTATCAAAAGTGGTATATTAAAATCTACTATTGTAGATCTGTTCATTTTTCTTTGCTTCATCTTTGTTAGAGTTTGTTTTATAAACTTTCATGTTCTGTCATTGGATGAATAAATATTTATAATTGTTAATGTCTTTGTAAATTGACCCTTTAATCATTATGTCTTTTGTGTTTTATAAAAAGATGTATGTTTTATGTTTCATTTATCACATGCATGCCTGCTATACTTTACCAACCAGTATGTGCTAAATAATGCAGCCTGACCTCTCAAAGAAGCTGGAGTAGTAATGGAGTCCTGGTGTGGTGCTGTAGGATAAACACTGGACTGTTGTTCATATTAAGTGCTGTCTAGTCAGTTCCAACTCTATACAGTGACCCTGTATAGGGTTTCCAAGGAATAGCTGGTGAGCTTAAACCACTGACCTTGCAGTCCAGTACATTAACCCGCAGCACCACTGCTATTATCAATACTCACGGAAACAGTAGTCAAGCAATCAAACGACGTATTACGTTTGGCAAATCTGCTGCACAAGCCTTTTAAGTATTGAAGAGCAAAGATGTCAGCTTGAGGACTAAGGTGCGCCTGACCCAAGCCATGGTATTTTAAATTACCTCATATGCATGTTAAAGCTGGACAGTAAATAAGGAAGACCATAAAAGAATTGATGCTTTTGAGTTCTAGTGTTGGAGGAGAATATTGAAAGTGCCATGGGCTGTCAAAAGAACCAATAGATCCGTTTTGGAAGGAGTGCAGCCAGAATTCTCCTTGGAAGCCAGGAGGGCCAAACTTTGTCTCTCATACTTTAGACATATTGTCAGGATGGACCAGTCGCTGGAGAAGGATATCATGTTTGTTAAGGTGGAGGGTCAGAAAAAGAGGAAGACCTCCAACGAGATGGATTGGTCAAGTGGCAGCATTGATGGACTCAAGCATGGCAACAGTTGTGAGGTTGGCCCAGGATCAGGCAGTGTTTCGTTCTGCTGTGCATAAGGTTGCTATGAGTCTGTACCGACTCGATGGAACCTAACAACAACAACCACTGCTAACCACAAAATTGGCAGTTCAAACCCACCAGCTGCTCCTTGGAAACACTATGAAGGGTTGCTATGAGTCGAAACTGACTTAATAGTATTTAACAACACAATAAAATGCCCTCAGGAAATCACAGTATGACAGCATCTGGTCACAGGATTTTGATCAATAAATAAGGGCCTGATCAGACTAGATTTTGTGGTAAACATATGACCAAATATAGGGGACTAGAGCATTTTCAAAGGGAATAATGCTGGGCATCATTTCTGGATTGTTAGGATGTGAGACTGGCTGGTTAGGGAAAATAGTACAAGACAGGATTGATTCCAGTTGTCAAAGACCTTTGAAGCAAGAAGGTACTGTCAGGTGCTTTTTACCTGGCTTTTAACATAATGAAATACTTAACAGAACTTTCATTAGATGGGTTACAGAGGGGAAGAAAATGAAGACAAAGAGATAATTGTTGTTAGGTACTGTTGAGCCAGTTCTAACCCTGTGTAGTATTTCCAAGAAGCAACTGGTGAGTTTGAACCGCTGACTTTGCAGTCCAATACTTAGCCTATAGGGCCACACCAGAACTCTTAAGAGATAAAATAGGTTGCTTAATTCATAGTTTCATATGCCATTTTTCTGTAAATAATAAATAGCTCATTAAGTGAATGTTACCACATTAAACCTTAGCAAATGAGAGAACTTCTCCACTGACTTTAAGATCCATGACATAAATGCTTACTTAGTAAGGTTGATTCCCTCTAAGTGTATTTCCACACTTTTAACCTTTTTCCTATTAATACACTAACTATGTTGTTTACACTTCATGAAAGATAAACTTTGTAGACATGTCATGTCTTCTTCTTGTTAAGTGCCACGGAGTTGGTTCTGACTCATAGCTCGGAGGAACCTTGCGATTCAAACTGATGTTGCATTCCAGTGCATTATTCCTCAGTGCTACACCAAGACTCAGTGTTTAACTGTCCATAAATTCCTTAAGAACAGGCTGGGGCTCATATCTGTTGTTCTATTACTAGTACCTATCACAGGGCCTAACAAATTGTAGGCTCTAAATACATGATAAGAAAAAATAATTGCTTTATATTTTGATATTGTTTGGTCTTGATTTTATAAAGGCTGCTTTTTATTTTGGGACTTAACCACAAGACATGTACTTAAATAAGCTCATCTTTTATAAATAAGAGAATAATTATATGCAGGTCACCTAAGGACCATTCATGCAATGTCCGACAGCATATTTGTCCAGGGTTCCATAAGGTTTTGTTTTAAGGGAAAGCAGCTCTCCTATTGTTTATTATTTCCTCCTAGTGGTTTTAAGTGCAGCACAGTGGCTTTGCATGATAAGCACTGGACTGTGAACCATAAGGTTGATGGTTCAAGATCCCAAGCCACTCTGTGGCTTTCTTCTTCCACAGTGATGTACAGCCTTGGAAACCTTATGCAGGGTCACTATGAGTCAGAACAGACTTCAGAGCACTTAACAACAGCAATGGTTTTAAAGACCCCAGATCCTTTAAGAAGCAGCAGGGCTCTAGAGTGTACCCCAATTCCCACAGCACCTCCTCTTTCCTTCCTTCTGACTTCATTGACCTGCCCAGCAGCCATGTAGCCTTTCACTCCCAGTGGTAAAGCCTGCTGCAGCTCCTCCACTCCAGCCATAGGCACTGATGATTATGGCCTGCCAGCTCCTGGCAGAAACTGCATATGATCAGGAAACAGCTGCAATAACAGGCAACAGCCAGGGCCGTCACCATGAATCATGCTTCCCATTACCACCTCTCTGTATCCTCCATGGGCTCTGCACCCCCAACCCTGTCAGCAGACATGAGGCAATGTCCTGATTCAGCTACCAGCGCATCCTCTGCCCAGCCCAACTGCATGCCCAGCAAACCAGTCTCCTATATCAAATGGATGCAATTTGCCCAACAAACCCCCAAAAGTTTGACTATAATAGATGTTGTTATTAGTGCCATCGAGCTGGTTCTGACCCATAGCAATCCTGTATACAGTTTTCAAGGAGTGGCTGTGAGCTTGAACTGCCGACCTCGCTGTTCAAACCGACTTAGCAGACCAGCACATTAAGTCAGGTTGTGTATAGACTGCCTATTTATAATATATTTATACAACATTTAAACAGCATAACATCCAATTTCACTTAGTACCATGGACATTAAATAATGCATTATCTGTATTTGTGATGGATTTCACTTAAAATATTTCTTTATAGAAAATTTTTGAGTCAAACCAAGTTCACAATAAGCTTTTATATTTTTTTCCTTTTTATACGCATAATATAAAGGTTATACTACTAAGTTTGGAGTTTTATCTTAAGTAAATATTCTTGACCTAAATACAATAAATGTATATTTATAAAATATTGTAATTGTTCATATTATAATATCACACTACAAAAATAAAGGAGTTATAATTTATACATTCCAAGTAGAGTAGAGGAGGTTGGCAATAAGAAAACGGCAAATGCTGTCTGTCTGCTGTCTTAACTGTCTGAAAGCTAACATGCAGTAACTTCAACTAACTGTAAGGGTAGGCTGGGAGGTGTAATCTCTATTCTGTGCAGCTAGGATAAGCAATCCATGATTTTTTATTTATAGTAAAAGAAGAAAACAACTGTTTTTTTGGATTGAAATCATTGTGAACTTCTAAAGCTCTATCTGTTCCTCCAGGTTCTGTCTTTCACACATCCTACCTCGTTCCACTCTGCAGAGACATATGAGTCCTTATTACAGTGCCTGAGAATGGAAGATGACAAAGTAGCAGAAGCTGCTATACAAATATTTAGAAATACAGGCCATAAAATAGAAACAGACCTTCCCCAGATACGGTCGTGAGTATATTTTTTTCTCGTGCTATATACAAAATTTTTCTCTTAATTGTGGGAGCCATGGAATCATTTCCCTTTTGTGTGTGGGTAGAATAAGGACAACTTCACTTAGAAGATAATTTTCTGTACTCTCCTTTATTTTACCCTTCCACTGTCTTTTAAGCAAAGAAACAGATTGAAAGTACTTGTTTTTAACAATATGGTTCTTTTACATTAATATTAATATAAAGTGATCATGGAATTAATATTTTATTATATTTGTGACATACATCTTCTTAATATATGTATATTCATTTTTTTCTTTCCAGCTGGATTGTAAATTTAATACATACCACCTTCATATCCCACCAAAGAATAAGATAAACAAGTAGTGTGCTTAATTAAATATTCACTAGTTAGGTGGTTGGTGGGTAGCAGTAATGTTCCTGGTTCTTTAATAGCAGTAACACAAGAGGACTCTACAAAATATGAAAGGAAAGAAAGAGCCACTGTTCACGTTGTGATATATATAAATTTTTGTTTTTTCAGAAATGTGTTTTTCTGTCTACTTGAACTGTATGACTTTAATGCTTTAAGACTGCAATATATATTTCCATATTGACCTATAGGAGGACTGCATCAGTTTACTCTTCAATGTCAGTACAAATGTTATAAATTGGAATTTGGGGCCAGAAATGCCTGTTTTCAAATCCCAACTGCACTACTTCTTAGCTTTGTCATGTAGGAGCTTAAATAACTTTTTGGGCTAGTTGTCAGGCTTCATCGCATTGCTAAATGTATAAAACTTAGCCCAGTGCCTGGCACTTGTTAGATTCTGTATAGCTATAGATATACATATATATCCTTCTACACCTTCTTTTGTTCTATTGATATCATCATTTTAACTTTTGCTACTTTAAAATAACTGACAATCACTATAAAAAGGAAAGTAGATAATTTGAAATATGATGCCAAGGAATTGCTGCTTTGTTTTTCTTTCTCAAAGAAAATGGCTTGCTTAGAAGATAGTTCAGATAGTTAAGGGAAATGATGTAGGAGACAATCAAAGTAACTACTTGTGGTTTGGGAAGGCTGTTTTTTTTAATTGTTGATATTTTTTTGCAGGACTTTAATTCCCATTTTACATCAAAAAGCAAAGAGAGGTACTCCACATCAAGCAAAACAGGCTGTGCATTGTATACACGCCATATTCACAAATAAAGAAGTCCAACTTGCACAGATTTTTGAGGTACATGTAATACATGTATGTATGTATATTGGTCTTTAAGCGTTGTGGTTTAATGACAGTTAAAGCCAGAATTTTTAGTCTTTCTACTAATAGCAGGAACCTTATCTTTCTTATTCAACACTATATTTTTAGCCTTTAAATTAAGTTATATTTAATTCTTTTTATATCAAAGGATGGAGTTTGTGTGTGTATGTGTTTAAGGACACTTTGCCTTAATTGTAGTCCTTAGCTGAGTAGTCTGTTTATCATCAGCAAGCTTTGAATAGATAACTTTGAAAAACTCGGATAACCTGACAATTCTGTCTGGAAATTAATCCTTATTTCTCTTTCCTTATATATAATCCTTAGCTTCATTGTCCTTCTAGAACAGTATCTCTGTTGTAAATGAAATACTATATGAAAACAAGACCTTTGTTTGTATTTTCTATGACTCAAGGTTATTTTAAACTGCCTCACTGGATAAAAAAACCTACCAGTATAGCAGGCCAAGCAAGAGACGGCTTGAAAATAATGCTGATTTCAGTAAAGCAGAAATGATGCAATCTAGTAATTTACTTCTCCTCCTTGCTATTACTTCTACTTTTTCTGAGCATGTTTGTATCTTTTTCCTTTATTTATCCTTTCTATCTTCTTAAATTTCAGTAAGCAAAATAAGAATCCAAGTGTCTGCGCATAGGTGAAGTTACTTATCAAATTGCTAGAATAGACTGGCTTGGTCATGCTAAAGTTCAAAAGGATTCTGAAATACTCACTGTTTAAGTAGAATATCTAGATACTTATTTTTTTTTAAAGTGTAATTTTGTCTAATTTCTTTTTATAGCCACTCAGTAGGAGTCTGAATGCTGATGTCCCGGAACAGCTTATAACTCCACTAGTTTCTTTGGGCCATATTTCTATGTTAGCACCAGATCAGTTTGCTTCCCCAATGAAATCTGTGGTAGCAAATTTTATTGTGAAAGATCTGCTAATGAATGACAGGGTAAGTTTCTCCATATTTATAAATTAAGAGCCATGATACTAAATTTACAACCAGCCATAAGATTAAGACTGATGATATATCTTCAATTATCACAGAAAAATGTGTTTCTTTCTCTATGGTGGTGGGTTATGTGCTGTAAAGTCAGTTCTAATTCATAGGAACCCTGCATAGGGTTGCCAAGGCTGTAAATCTTTACAGGAGCAGTAAGCCTCATCTTTTTCCCATGAAGTGGCTGGTAGACTAGAACTGCTGGCCTTGTGGATAGCAGCTCAGCTCATAGTCTACTATGCTTCCTTAGTTTTTGGTGTTTATATAATCTCTTATTCTATTAAATTATTTTATATTTTGCTTCCTTTATATTTATTTGCTTAAGTGTCCAAATGATTTCCTGACTTCTAGGTAGTAGTACTTAGGAATTAACTTTCAAAAGAGAATAAGTTAGAGAACATAAGGTAAAAGTCTCATGAACTAAAAAATGTAAATCAAATACTATCATCCTAACCTTTAGAGAACAATTTAGAATTTTCTGTAGTATTAGAATTTTGTTTTATCAGATATATATTTTTTAAAGCAAGTTTGAATTTGACTAGCATTTGACATTTAATAAAAGTATGTTTTTGGCACTAGATAGATATATGACAATAAGTAAAAAAATATTGCTACAAAATAGAAACCTTTATTAAACAAAAATATCAAAATGTGAAGTTACTGTTTCTCAGCATATCCGCCATCTAGGTGTATATACTTCAAAAGATAGTGTTTTCCAGCTCTCTAAACCTTTCCTGAAAATTTTCTGCTCTCTTCCATTTACACCACATCCAAACGTCAGTTTTGGCATCCTGGAGGGACTCAAATCGTGTTCCTTTGATATGTTCTTTGCATTTGGAGAACAAAAAGAAGTCTGAAGGGGACAAGATCAGGTCTGTGGGGTGGATGGGATAAAGTTTCCCAACAAAATTCCCAAAGGACAGCCTTTGCTACCCTTGAAGAATGAGCAGGTTCGTTGTCATGATAGAAAGCCATCCTTGGCATAATTTACCTCATCAATGCAGTTTTCTGTTTTCTTAAAACTTATTCCTAATAAGACTGTGATCATCATCCTGTGTCCTTCAAGAAAGATGATTTATATTACCCCTTTGGGTTCCCAAGAAACAGTCTTCATAACCTTCTGAGCTGATATCTCTGCTAAAATTTAACTGGCCCAGTAGATTACCTTAGAATCTGCTACTGTTTTGATTGGATTTTTTTTTTTTCAAGGCACCCAAATGAGAATAAGACGTGTATATTACTGAGAGAACTTGTCTGTAGCCATCCACTTAACACAGAGACACGTTTAAACCTGTTTTGTATGGAGTAAACCTGTGCATGTGTGAACTGGAACCCTGATTGTTGTTGTTAATTGCCATCTAGTTGGTTCTGACTCAGTAACCCTGTATAGTATTTCTGAGGAACAGCTGGTGGGTTTTAACTGCCAGCCTTGTGGTTCACAGTTCAAGTTCAGTGCTGATCCTACAGTGCCACAGCAAAAGTCCAGAACCCTAAACACAGTACTTTTTTACTTAGCCTTGTATGTATTGTGCTTTAGACAATGAAGAGTGCGTGTGTGTAGGCGCGCAATGCGCTTGGCAGATTAATGAACTCTGGTTTGGATGCCAGGAACATTAACTTGAAAAGTCTCCCCTTATGATTTCAGAAACACACCTCTGATTAAAAATCATCACTATACCAAATGGACCTAAATTAAAGGGTTATCAAGTGAAGACACAAATCAGTCTTACCTGCTGGCGGACTGTAGATTTATCTTCAAGTCATTGTTAACATACCCAAAATCCCAACTTACCAGATCTTCATAGCCCTCCTACATGGTCCAGTGGCCTTGAGCACTCAGTATCAAGAACTTTAAAGAGAACAGAATGTTCTCCTCCTCTACCCATTCTGGATATTATAGACCAGATGGGAAGGATATGTATGACTAGTCTCAGTTTCTACTCCTCACAGTGCCATTCTTAAATAGATGTGTCTAGAAACAATTATGATTTAAGATCCCTCTTCAGTAGTAACATGATTATTGGTGAGTCCTAGTTAAGATACTTGTTATTCAGTAGGGAAATTGAGTGTAGTGTGGGTATGCCAGTAGTATCCTATAGCAACCCTACTCCCTGACTAGGACTCATCCTCTAGTGGTTTTATTCTTCCTCTTCACTCATTCACTACTCTCAATTACTTATTTGAGAGCTCTGTTGTTATCAGGTGCTATCGAGTCAGTTCCGACTCATAGCAACCTTATTATGCACAGCAGAACAAAACACTGCCCAGTCCTGCACCATCTTACACCTAAGCCCATTGCTGCTGCCACAGTGCCAATTCATCTCTTGGATATCATCCTTTTTCAATGACCCTCCACCTTACCAAGCATGATGTCCTTCTCCAGGGACTAGTCCCTCTTAATAATATGTCCAAAGTATGAGAGACAAAGTTACCATCATGGCTTCTAAGGAACATTCTGGCTATACTTCTTCCAGCAAACATTTGTTTGTTCTTCTGGCAGTCCAATGATGAAAAATCTTAGTGTTACTCTTTCAACTACCTTATATTACTTAGGAATGTTACATGGAACTAATACTAGGAATAAAACATTTTGTGACCAAGTGTTCTAAAATATATATAGTTATTATTTTTGCTTTCTCTATCAGGCATACTGATATTTGGTTTCTTTTTAAGCAAAATCATTATGTCATTAGAAAATGTCCTTAAGTGAAAAAATATACTAATCTCAATCTGAGCATGTTCAGAGCCATATCCTATTTACTGCCTTTTTTTTTTTTCTTTTCATTTACTCCATAATGAATTAAGCCACAGAATTAGGGCACTTATAGGCCTTTTTACAGAAACAAAATATAAATTGGAATATGATTTTATGATCAAGGATAAAGTTTTCATTGGTGACTTTTTCTGTTTCCTAGAACACTATAGTTTTTTTAATCATAAAAAGCTTAATAAGCAAAGTTTTTGGTTTATGTTTTTTTAATTAAACTTATTCAATTATCTATAGTCCACAGGTGAGAAAAATGGAAAATTATGGTCTCCAGATGAAGAAGTTTCCCCTGAAGTACTAGCAAAGGTAAATTTCTGTAACTCTTGGTAACATTTATGTTGAAGTAAGGAATGTTCATAGATATCCCTTTTCCTAACATAAGCATTTTTCAATGAAGTAAGTTGTTTCTCAACAAAATTGCATTAATCATTGGGTTATTTATATATAGATGTATATGGAATTCAGGTGTAGTGCTGTAGGATAAGTACTGGACTGCTAATAACCGTGAGGTCATTGGTTCCAACCCACCAACCACTTCTCATAAACCTTTCACAGTGTTGCTATGAGTGGGAACTGACTCAAGGACTCTTATATAACATCAGCAGTCAGTGTCTTCTATAGAATTTCCTGCCTGCTGAGTCAGTCACAGAATCGTGGTGTGGCACTGTAGGATAAGCACTGGACTGCTAACCAAAAGGCTAGTGGTTCAAATTCACCAGCCACTCCTTGGAAGCCCTATATAGGGTTGCTGTGAGTCAGAACTAAACTTATGACCCTTCACAACAACAGCAAGACAGTCACAATGAGGCTGTTGTGCTCACAAGCTAAGAGTATTGGTGCAAGTATTGGTGCTCAAGCCTTCTCAGGAGATTGGTAGTCTAGCTTCACCACCACTACCTACAAATATATGGATATTTACAGAATCCTGGTGTGCCATTGTCGGATAAGCACTGCAAAGTCATTTTGAACCACAAGGTTGGCAGTTCAAAACCACTGGCCACTCCTTGGAAACCCTCTAAAGGGTTGATATGAGTCGGAACCAGCTCAACAATGCTTAACAAGAACAACGTAGCAAAGACAGCTAGTCGTCATCAAAACTTTTGAGGGATATAAATTATATCTTGGGTAAAGTTCATTTTTTAAATGGTAGTCTTCAAATTTGAGACAGAGCTTCAAACCAGTGAAACTGGAACAGACCCAAATTTCGAAAATTGAGGTGATCAGAAATAGGAAACTCAGAAGAGTCATAAAGAGCCCTTTCAGAAGCCTGATGTGTGATACTGGATTATTGCCAGGATTGTGAAGAGCCACAGTGAATAGCTGATCATCATTGTTTTCCATTCAGCAAGTTAAGAGATTTAGTTTCTATGCAATGTGGATGTGGTCATTGTTCTAAAGGGAGATTAAGTTTCTAGTAGGACTTTGACCTGTTGTTTTCCCATTCCAGTTAGTGTGTGGTTCACCCACTTTTTCAAAATTTGGGTCCATTTCGGTGTCACTTCATCAGCCACAACTGAAGTTATGAATAGCCCTGGTTTGAAATAAGAGATTATATCATCTGCATTGATCATCTATTTCACCTTGTGTGGCTTCATTGTAATTATGTGTCCAGCAATTCCTTTTTCCAGGTTGTCAATAAAGATAGTAAATAATACCTGGGTCCATTCACTTGTTCTTTGAACTCTATTTGTAACAATTCTGATTTTAAGCTTCAGTGTAATTATAACCACAAGTAATTATGAGACCTCCTAGGTTTTTGACTAGAATGTTTAGTGAGAATGAATCAGACTTAGATGTTTTCTTCAAACTGCTTGTTCACTGTAAAAAAATATGTATACCTATTTAAAAAGTTATTTTTAATCACTATTATCAGTATGGAGAAATTGTGCGAATGGTTAACATACTTGACTACTAGCAATGATTCAAGTTCACCCAAAGGCATCTTAGAAGAAGGCCTGACAAACTACTTCTGAAAAACAGCCGTTGAAAACCCTGTGGATCACGGTTCAATTTGACATTCAGAAGTCACCATGAATCAGAATTGACTCCATGGCAACTGGTTTTTATATTCAGTATCATTTTAGTTGTTGTCAAGTCAGTTCTTACCCCTAGCGATCCTCTATAGGGTTTCCAAGGAGCTGCTGGTGAGCTTGAACCACCGACACTGTGGTTCAAATCAACTTTGCAGTCCAGCACATTAACCCACAATGACACACCGGGACTTTTAAAATAAATGTTTTCAAAATATTGAACTGAGACATGTGTCTTAGTTGCCTTACCTGGTAGAAGTAAGAAGACCTCTCTCAATGAGTTGTTCAAGAGATTAACTAATAATACAAGTACAGTTTGGGGAAAGCACCTGGTATATAATAAACACCAAATAAATGTTCACAGTTATTGTTACTGTCACAGACAGAGACTATTTTAATAAATGCTGCCTGCTGGTGAGGTTTAATATCTAATTAACATACATTAGTCTTCCTTTTACTTTGAACTTTAAGTTGCCTTTTTTTTTAGCATGTTAATATTTTATAGGTACAGGCAATTAAACTTCTGGTAAGGTGGCTGTTGGGTATGAAAAACAACCAGTCTAAATCTGCCAATTCAACTCTTCGGTTATTATCAGCGATGTTGGTTAGTGAGGGTGACCTGACAGAGCAAAAAAGAATCAGGTGAGATTTTTCTTCCCTTCTAATTTTTTTAGCTCAAAAATTTTGGTAGCATTTATATTGGGATTATTTACCTAATTAATACTGGGTGTTACAATTATATCATGTACTAGAGGATCAAATCATACATACTTATATCACATTTATATCTCTTAATAGTATTTTATTTTAATCGTACTGGCGTATCTTTACTCCTAAATATTATAACTTTTTCCAGTAATTCTGTATTCTCTCACTTTAGTCAAATGTCATGATTAGTTTCAGCATTTTGTTCAATTAAATTTTTATTGAGTTCTTACTTTGCAGAGCACTATAAAAACATTGCAGCAAAAATCATTATTGTTTGGTCCCTCCCTTCAAGGAATTTACCCTATTGGTTTATGTGATTAAACAGATAAGAGTGGCATAAGTACCATGAAGGAAAAAAGGAAGAATCATAGTCTCCTGGTTGTTCATAGAAGACACTATTGAAAGTTCTGCAAAAGCAAACAAACTGAAATCATTGATACTAGTTCTGGACATTGTCACTCTTCAAATCTCTGAAATCTCTGTTTCTTTCTAGTCTTTCTAAACCCAGTTTTTCATGATACTTGCTTCTTTCAAATTCTTTATTTACTAGGGGTCTAAAGCAACAGTTGAGATAACTAAAGAACTCTACATGTGCTGCACCCTTTAAAAATTGTGGTAGAGGACAGAGGTTTAATTATTCATTCATGCATATACTGTTTGCATACCACTCTCCTATACCAGGTGCTGTTAAGCTTTTTAAAAGTTAAAAAACCTTCCAAGAATTTACAGTCTAGAAAAGAGATAGAAAATCAGCAGTTATGAAAATATGTTGAGTAGCTTTTCATGAACACACTGATAAGATAACAAAATTTTAAATTTGGGGAAATTATGTACTGGACTGCAAAGTTGGTTTGAACCACTAGGTCAGCATATCAAGCTCCCAGTCACTCCTAGGAAACCCTATTCAGGGTCTCTGTGGGTTGGAACAAATTAGATGGTACTTTAACAACAACAACATGTGCAGTGGAGTCCTGGTGTGGTGCTGTAGGATATCGTCAGTTCAAATCCACCAGCCATTCCTTGGAATCCCTATAAAGGGTCACTATGAGTCTGAACCAAGGTGACTATGTTTAACAATAAACAAATCCTCAGTCTACTTGGAAAAATAAGAAATTTGAAAGTTTTACATCACTAAACCCAATAAATAGAATTTTATATAAATGATTGATATCTGTTTTTGCCTATCAAATGAGCAAGGGTAAGTGTGGCACTGTAGAAGAAGCACTGGACCAAGCACCACATGTTGAACAGTTCAGACCCACCAGTTACTCCTCTGAAACCCTGTAGAAGGTCGATATGGGTCTGAATCAGCTTAACAGCACTTAACAAGATCAATCAAATGAGCCAATACTTTTGCTCATTGGGATCAGAAATGGGTCCCTCCTTACCCCTGGAAGTATAAATTCGTACAATCTTTGCAGGACAGTTTTATATCTAGAGCCTTAAAATGATGATATCCTTTGACTACTTTGATGCACAAGAGGTAGTAAAAGACGTATACAAAAATATACCTGCAAACTTGTTCTTTCTAGCATTATCATCATAAAAAAAGACTATACAGTAGTTAAGTACGGAATATGCATTATCATTATCGTAACATAGTTGTTGTTGTGAAGTGCCATCAAATCGGTTCTGACCCATAGTGACCCTGTATAGGGTTTCTGAGGAGTAGCTGGTGAACTTGAACCTCCAGCCTTGCAGTTCTAATGGCTTTGCAGTCTAGGGCATTAACCTACAGCGCCACACCAGCAATCGTAACATAGTAAGCAGACCTTAATTAGATATCTGCTCAACATATTAAATGAAAAATGAGTAAGATTTTAAACTGTGTATGTGGTCTGCTTCTAATAAGACATGAAGGTTAGTATGTCTAAAATAAAGAATAGAAAGAAATTTTTAACAATGATTATCTGTTCATAGTAGAATTACTAGCAGTTTCCATTTTCACTGATTTTTCTCCTTCATTCAGCTGATCTTATTATATTGCATTTAATCTGAAAAAAGTTGTAAAATTTTTGTGTATTATGATCTCATTTGTTAAAATATAAAATTTTTTAACATTCATATAGACTACATATATGTGTTCATAGTATTAAAATTTTATTTTCTTAGATTACGTAATCTGTGGCTACTAATGTGATCAATTAATAGTTACCACTCATGGGATCACTATGAGTTGGAATCTGTTCGAGAGCAACTAACAACTCTCCCTCCTAATAACAAGACTTTTAGGTGAAAACCACCACTCATTCTGACCCTGGTTTTTTTTTTTTTTAATTCCCTCTAGGTGTCCACTAAGGAGCTCTGGTAGCATAGTGATTACAAATCGGGCTGTGAACCACAAGGTCAGCAGTTTGAAACTGCCAGCTGGTCCGCAGGAGAAAGATAAGGCTTTCTGCTCCTGTAAAGATTTACAGCCTGAGAAACCCTGTATGTCACTATAAGTCAGAACCAACTCCACCGCACATAACAACAACAGGTGTCCTGTGATGCTCTCACTCACTTTATTTCATTTTGGTCCCCTTCAATATGGTAGTTGTGGTTATGTACCATGGTTGTTTCCAACTCATAGTGAACCTGTATAGAGTTTCCAAGGCTGTAAATCTTTAGGGGAGCAGAAAGCCTCAGCTCTCTCCTGCAGAATGGTAGGTAGTTTTGAACTGCTGATTTGAGGTGAGCAGCCCCACTCATAACCACTAAGCTACCAGAGCTCCCTCAGTATAGCATTGTGTTAACTTGGGCTCTAGCATCAGAAACTTACAGCTCCACACTCCAGTTATTACCTATGTGACTTTGTATAAATAACTTTGGTAGGCCTCAATTTCCTCTCATCTTTTAGAGGGAAATTGCAGTAAGATAAAAGCTGTAAACTTGCTTGCACAGTGCCTGACACAGAATAAGCACCCAAGTAATAGTTATTTTTTATTGCTGAGTCATTTGACTCAAGATCCATATAAGGATCTGCAGACAACTGTCACCAGTTCTTACTATGAGGATGAGTTGAAAAATTATCAGCACTCAGTTATTAAGGTGCCATCCACGTTGCTGGCCAATGACCAGATTGAACATGCACATAAAGACAAGTGACAGTGAATTATGTGGCAAGTCATTTGCAGATCAGTTGTGGCTCTGCCTATAATTCAAAACAGACCTGGATTTCAAAAAGTTTGTGCAAGACGGGTACCAAAACAATTTATGAAAGAGCATAAACAGACACTTGGACATCTGCAAACAGAATTTGGACCAATACTGTTGTTATTGTTGTTAGGTGCCATCGAGTAGATACTGACCCATAGCGACCTTATGCACAGCAGAACGAAACCCTGCCCGATCCTGGGCCAACCTCACTACTATTGCCACTCTTGAGTCCATCGATGGTGCCAGTTGGCCAATCTATCTCATTGGGGGGTCTTCCTCTTTTTCTCTGACCCTCCACCTTACCAAACGTGATATCCTTCTCCAGAGACTGGTCCCTCCTGACAATATGTCCAAAGTATGAAAGACGAAGTTTGGCCTTCTTGGACTCCAAGGAGCACTGTGGCTGCACTTCTTCCCAATGGATATATTGGTTCTTTTGGCAGCCCATGGCACTTTGAATATTCTTCTCTAACACCATAACTCAAAGGCATCAATTCTTCTACAGTCTTCCTAATTCTGTCCAGCTTTTGCATGCATATGAGGTGATTGAAAACACCATGGCTTGGGTCAGGCGCACCTTAATCCTCAAGCTGACATCTTTGCTCTTTAACACTTTAAAAACGTCTTGTGCAACAGATATGCCTAATGCAATATGTCGTCTGATATTTTTGACTGCTGTTGATAGATGATCCAAGAAGAATGAAGTCCTTGACAATTACAGTCTTTTCTCCATTGATAAGAATGTTGTTTATTGGTTCAGTGGTGAGGATCTGTGTTTTCTTTACATTGAGATATAATCCTTACCGAAGGCTCTGCTCTTCATCAGTAAATGTTTTAAGTCCTCTTCACTTTCAGCAAGCAAGGTTGTATCATCTGCATATCCCAGGTTGTTAATGAGTCTTCCTCCAATCCTGATGCCACGTTTTTCTTCATAGAACCTAGCTTCTCAGATTATTTGCTCAGCATACAGGTTGAATAACTATGGTGAAAAATACAACCTTGTCGCACACCTTTTTAAATTTTAAATCATTCAGAATTCCCATGTTCTGTTTGAACAGCTGCACGATTAAGTGTTCCGGATACTCGTACTTCACAATGTTGTCCATAGTTTGTCATGATCCACATAATCGAAAGCCTTTGCGTAGTCAATAAAAGTACAGGTAAACATTTTTCTGATATTCACTGCTTTCAGCCAAGATCCATCAGACATCAGCAATGATATCCCTCATTCCACGGCCTCTCCTAAATCCGGCTTAAACGTCTGGAAGTTCTCTGTCAATGTATGATTGTAGCCCTTTGTGTATTACCTTTAGCAAAAGTTTACTCGCTTGAAATATCAAAGAGATTGTCCGATGATTTCCACATTCTGTTGGATCACCTCTCTTTGGAATGGGCACAAATATGGATCGCTTCCAATCAATCGGCCAGATAGTTGTCTTCCAGATTTCTTGGCAGAGATGAGTGAGTGCCTCCTGTGCCGCCTCACTTTCTTGAAAAATTTCAATTTTTATTACATCAATTCCTGGTACCTTGTTCTTTGCCAGTTCCTTCAATGCACCTTGGATTTCCTCCTTCAGTATCATTGGCTCTTGATCATATGCTACCTCTTGAAACCGTAGAACATTAACCATTTCCTTTTGGTAGAGTGACTGTGTAATTTTTTCCATCTTTTTTGATGCTTTATGCATCATTCAATAATTTGCCCAGAGAATCTTTCAATACTGAAAGTTGAGGCTTCAATTTTTTCTTCA